TTTTTTTCATAGCAGGTCCCAAATTAAGCCCGCTACCATGTCAAATCGGGGGCAAATCGAGTGCGGTCCTACACAAGTGAAGCGCACCATAAGCTCTGTTCTAAAAATCGGCCTAGGCGGCGCCTAGGCGCTAGGCGGTGCCCGGGCGCCTCCGATTTGCCCAAATCGGCAGACTGACCATAAGAGGGTTAGCCCAAATGAAGTCCAAGTGGAGTTCCATCCCAAAACCAATTGGTAGTAGGAGGAGTAGCCCACTAGGCTTATAAGTTAGGCCTACTTACCCTATCAAATCAATGTGGGACAACTCACAACTGACATTCCAATACATTGCCTTCATCAAATTAAGATATAAGGAGAAAGGTAAATAAATCTGAGAATGAATGAATAATATAAAATAAAAAATGCCATGATTAAAAATATTAAAATTTTAATTGTTTATAATGATAATTAGAAATAAGTAAAAGAAATAATAACAATTAATAATAATAATAATAATAATAATAATAATAATAATAATTGTTGACAACAGACCTGGTTAACCCAATCAAGAGAAACCACGAGGAGGATTAATCCCTGACCCAACTTGATAGACCTCGGCGTGAACCAAGAGAAGAACCGACCTCGTCAATGGGCCGAAGACCGACTTTCATGCGAGACCGAGATCAGACCAGGGCATTAAATTCAGATGGGACACCTGTCAATCAGTCTCCCATACTTTCATCATTACTTGTTGGACCACTCGCAGCCCACAGGCTAGTTGCCCTTAGACCATTAAATCGCATTTAATATCGTCGAACCAGTCTCGAAGGAGTATAAGATTACTATAAATAGCAGTATTTATTCTTGTACGAATATCTTTTTGGAGACATATTGAATGCACATATAAAACAGCTCGGTTCCACGAAAAACCGACTTCTTATACTTGAACCCGACTTCAACATAATGAAAATCATACCAATTTACGACTTTCAATTCAATTAATCTCTGTGATTATAGTTGTTAAATTCGATTAATAATAACAATTTTTTTTTTCTTTTTTTTTGAGTAAAAAAGAAGATGAAATAAAAGTACTTTTATAGTTTTTTATTCATTTGTTGTTTGAATGAGATAGTCATATGACAAAACTTAATTTTTTCCTATAATCAATCGCATGTTTTTTTTTTTTTTTCTTTTTTTATGTTTGAGTATGTGGAATATATAGTGAAATATATATATAATATAATGCATCATTTTATACACAACAATATACATTGAGAATAAAGGTAAGAACATATGAATAGAGTTAGCAATATTAATTATCATGGGTTTTGTATTGAGAATTTTGTTTGTCTTGCTTAAAAATAGAAAAACAAGAAGAAAATAGAAATGATAAGGACCGCGAAGAACAAGGACAATGTATTTTCATGGAACTTCACATTCTTTTTTGTCTTTCTTCTAGCTCAAGTTCTTTGGTCCGAATCGAACTTCATTTCACTAAATCATTAATTTATTAGATATTGTCGCGGGTTATTATTCCATCAAAAGGATAAAAAATATGCATGCACTTCACCAGTTTTGCTATGGAACCATCGGATGGCTCGGTTTATGGAGTCATCCACAGTTATTCACAAATAGTATATTAATACGTATTCTATAATAAAAGCATTTTGGACAAGTATCAATATACTAAGTTATGGATGACTCCATAAAAAACCATCCGATGACTCTATAAAATTTTTGTCCACTACATATAATATAAGCTTGTAAAAGGAAATGTCAATGTATGGTCAATAGGCTTAACTACTCTAAAGATACGGTAATGGGCTACAGCCCACTAAAGTTACTGCTTTAATTCTAAATGGGCTTACAAATGCATTGGGTGTGAGCAAGGGCTCGTAGGGTTTCGGCCTGTTCAAAACTGCTAACATATATAATTGTGGTTTAAAAGTTGTGTATTTAGATTTTGAGTGGTTAAATTTTAAAAATAATACTCCATGAATTTTTTTAAATTTTTAATTAATATCTCATTGAACATCTCAAATCTTCTTAAGATCTTAAAAATTTTAAACTAATATATTAAAATTTCTTATAGTGTAAACTTTTTTTTTTCAAAAAATCTAAATGAATAAAAACTCGTTAGTATTATTTATGCATGATTTTAAAAT